CCCGGCCAGGCTCACCCCATCCCACCCCCTGCCAGAGCCGAGCTCACGGGCACTCCCCGCAGTCCGAAATAATCACTTTCTGCTTCGGTTTCCCGTCTTTGGTGCCCTGAGCCTTTGAGAAGAGAGCAGCAAGAATTAAAAGCATAAAATCTAAGGGTGGGAAGGAGGGCAGGAGGTGGGCTCTGCCCCCACCACCGGTGCCTACCTCGATCTGCCGCACCACGTCCATGCCCTCCGTCACCTCGCCGAACACCACGTGCTTCCCGTCCAGCCAGTCTGTTTTGTCGCAGGTGATGAAGAACTGGGAGCCGTTGGTGTTCGGGCCGGAGTTCGCCATCGATAACAGCCCTGTGATCAAAAAGCGTTGCGTTACGGCTGGGGAAGGATGGAGGAGCTCCAGCACATGAGCTGCTACCTCAACCCAAACCCATTTCTGTGCTGTGCAAAATGCCGCCCGTTTTAGGTGAGCCTCTGAAAATTAAACTTCACAGAAACTGGTGGAAAGCAACTACACTGACAGAGAAACGCTCGCAAGCATGAAAGATGGAACGCGGTGGAGGTTGCTCATCTATTTTTAGTTGCAGTAATAGAAAAGCTGTTTGTACGGTGAGAAGCCCGCTTGCTTGTTGCTGCTTTTCATCGTCACACTGTGACTTTCCTCCTTTAAAATCAAACAGGAAAGCAGCTTTGAAACGCTTTCTCCATTCCGTAATACTGGAAATTAACAGCGCGCGGATGGAGAGAGAACGATGCATTTCTGCTCGCTGAATACCGGTGATACGCAATAGTCTGACCACGGAAGATTACACCACAGCAGAAGCATTTGGCCAACAGAGATTATAGTTCATGGCTGCTAATAGCACCACGGTCAAAATAGACCGAGCGTGGCCCCTAGATGACGCTGAGCCATTTTGCTCTCCAGCCCCTGCCCGAGGAGATGGCTCTACCTGGTCCTGTGTGTTTGAGAATGAAGTTTTCATCGTCAAACTTCTTCCCGTAGATGGATTTGCCTCCGGTGCCGTTGTGGTTGGTGAAGTCGCCGGCCTGGCACATGAATTGGGGGATGATGCGGTGGAAGCTGCTCCCTTTGAAGCCGAAGCCTTTCTCGTGGGTGCAGAGGCAGCGGAAATTCTCTGTTCGGGGGTAAGGGGAAGAGAAGTGAGAGCTGCGCCGCAGCTGGAAGCCACCACGCTGCGGGGAAGAGATCTCCTCACCTACGGTCATGGGCACCACATCCGAGCGCAGGAGGATCTGCAGCCGACCCGCAGGTTTGTTTCCGATCTTGATGTCCATGTAAACCTGAGGGTTGACCCGGGATTTCTTGGCGGGAGGCTCGCCCTGGGCAGGGAAAGAAAAAAAAAAAAAGCAAGTTGAGATGACGTTCCTCTGCTCTGCCTCCAGACGTGGTTGGCCTGATGCCCTCAGCCTTCGGGACAGCAGGGATACGGACGGCTCCGGTTGTTTCTCCTACCTCCTGCGCCTCTGGTTTGGGGGCCTCGGCTCCTGCCTCCTCTGTGTTCTCCTCCAGAGTCTTCCCTGAAAACTTCTTCAGCCAGTCATCGTCCGACCAGACTGTGATGGCAAAAGGAAGGGTCAGAGCACAGGAACCGAACCAAAGGGCCACACGTGAGCACACATGCGGCTGCACGGGCCAGGGCGCAGCACGGCGCTGGCAGCAGGATGGCACCCAAAACATGAGAGCAGCGTGCCCCCAAGGGACACGGCGTGCGGGGAAATAAGGGACAAAGTCATCTCTTTGGCCTCCCAGAGGTGCCACACATCACTGGGCAGGGCAAAGCTCACAGCCCCTTCGCTGCACCTGCCCCCACGCAGGGCAATTGCTCAGCATGGCCTCGGCCCCATCTGCTCTTACAGATGTGGCCAGATGTGTGGGTAATTTTGCCGGGCATGTGTGTGGCTGTGCGTGCTGTGCCCTCTGTCAGAGGGCATGAAGGCAATTAGAAGTACAGCCAAGAGTGTCTCCAAGCAAGACCTTGGGGAGTATTTTTATTTGGCCACTAACTTCTTTGGCCACTAACTTCTTTGGCCACTAGGTTGCCACTCGGATCCCCAAGATCCCAAATGGGAGGCAGAGCAGAGGTCTCTTCCTTGGGGTCCGGGAAAGCCGAAGGGCTGACGCACGAAGCTCTGAACACCCACAGGGATGCTCTCCCCCCTCCCAGGCACCAACTCACCCGGCCTGGACGATCCTTCTTTAATTCGCATTGGTTTGGCCAAGTTCACACGGATTGTCCTGCCGAAGAGCTCGGACTCGTTCTGCAGAGGGCAAAAGCACAACAAAGCCCACCAAAAGGTGAAACATCACCGTGCCCCCCCGAAACCCCCGCGGAGGTCAGAGGAAAACAGAGCTTGCTTTCTCTACGTGGCCCACGCCACACAGCGCCTCGCTCCGTGCTACTGGGAAGACGGCAAAGCCCCGCGTCTCCGCAGGCGAGTGGGAACTGGGTCCGTACCATGTTATCAATGGCTGCCGCCGCATCCTGCCAAAAAAGCAAGAGAAAATCATTATTATAATATTATCTCTCTCTGCCTTTAAAAGCAGGGCTCAGCCTGCGCGTGCCCCAGCATTTTGTCGCCAAAGAGATCGCCAAAGGACCGTTTTCCTAAACCTCATCTACCCCAGGGCTGTAAAAAATGATGTTTCTTGCAAGAGCGGCATCCAAACCAGTACCTGGGTTTGTCTTCCCACAACCAATCCCGTAAACTCATTTTATGTACGATGCTTTACCGCTTATGGAAAATATCTGGGAGGAGAGACCTCATGTATGAAGCCCAGGGCAGGTTATATGACAGCAAATACACGACAGTCTGTGCTGCCCACAAAGCCAAGAAACCCCCCGCTGCTGCTGAGCCCCAGGGCCAGCAAGGGGGCAGTTTGGGCCAGCAAGGGGGCAGTTTGGGCCAGCAAGGGGGCAGTTTGGGCCAGCAAGGGGGCAGTTTGGGCCAGCAAGGGGGCAGTTTGGGCCAGCAAGGGGGCAGTTTGGGCCAGCAGGAAAATGGGAAAAAGCAGGAACTTGGAAAGGCAGAACTGGAGAGTGACCCGAGGCTGTGGCAGGTAACCCCCCGCCTGCTTCCACAGCGGAGTCCAGCGGAGGCTACGGAGATGCTGAGGGGACTGGACCATCTCTGTGCCGAGGAGAGGCCGAGAGCCCCGGGGCTGTTCAGCCTGGGGAGGAGAAGGCTGAGAGGGGATCTCAGCAGTGCTGATCCAGATCTAAAGGGCGGGTGGCAAGAGGATGGGGCCCGACTCTTTCCAGTGGTGCCCGGCGACAGGACGGGGGGCAACGGGCACAAACTGGGACACGGGAAGTTCCATCTCAACATGAGGAGGAACTTCTTTAC